CCCTACACACAACACATACACCTAATACACAGAACAACACACACAGTCCCCACATACACCCAGAACAACATACACCCAGAACAACACACACAGTCCCCACATACACCCAGAACAACACACACAGTACATACACCCAGAACACACACAGTCCCACATACACCCAGACACACACACACAGTCCCCACATACACCCAGAACAACCACACCCAGAACAACACACACAGTCCCCACATACACCCAGAACACACAGTCCTCTACATACACCCACACAGTCCCCACATACACCCAGAACACACACACACCTCCCCACATACACCCAGAACACACACAGTCCCCACATACACCCAGAACAACACACAGTCCCACATACACCCAGAACAACACCCACACACACAGTCCTCACATACACCCAGAACAACACACACAGTCCTCACATACACCCAGAACAACACAGTCCTCACATACACCCAGAACAACACAGTCCCCACATACACCCAGAACAACACAGTCCCCACATACACCCAGAACAACACAACACAGTCCTCACATACACCCACCCAGAACACACAGTCCCCACATACACACAGTCCTCACATACACCCAGAACAACAACACAGTCCCCACATACACCCAGAACAACACCCAGTCCCTACATACACCCAGAACAACACAGTCCTCCACATACACCCAGAACAACACAGTCCTCACACAGTCCCAACACATACACCCAGAACAACAACACAGTCCCCACATACACCCAGAACAACAACACAGTCCCCACATACACCCAGAACAACACACACAGTCCCCACATACACCCAGAACAACACACAGTCCCCACATACACCCAGAACAACATACACACAGAACAACCCCACATACACCCAGAACAACACACACAGTCCTCACATACACCCAGAACAACACACACAGTCCCCACATACACCCAGAACAACACACACACAGAACAACACACATACACCCACACCCACACACAGTCCCCACATACACCCAGAACAACACACACAGTCCCCACATACACCCAGAACAAACACACACAGTCCCACATACACCCAGAACAACACAGTCCTCACATACACCCAGAACAACACAGTCCCCACATACACCCAGAACAACACACACAGTCCCCACATACACCCAGAACAACACACAGTCCCTCACATACACCCAGAACAACACAGTCAGTCCCCATACACCCAGAACAACACAGTCCCCACATACACCCAGAACAACACACACAGTCCCACATACACCCAGAACAACACACAGTCCCACATACAACCCAGAACACACACACAGTCCCCATACACCCAGAACACACACAGTCCCCACTACAGAACACACACACAGTCCCAACATACACCCAGAACAACACATACACACATACACCACAGAAGAACACACACAGTCCCCACATACACCCAGAACAACACACACAGTCCCCACATACACCCAGAACAACACAGTCCCCACATACACCCAGAACACACAGTCCCCACATACACCCAGAACAACACACACAGTCCCCACATACACCCAGAACAACACACACAGTCCCCACATACACCCAGAACAACACAGTCCCCACATACACCCAGAACAACACAGTCCCCCCAGAACAACACAGTCCTCACATACACCCAGAACAACACACACAGTCCCCACATACACCCAGAACAACACACACAGTCCCCACATACACCCAGAACAACACACACAGTCCCCACATACACCCAGAACAACACAGTCCTCACATACACCCAGAACAACACACACAGTCCCTACATACACCCAGAAGAACACACACAGTCCTCACGTGCATCCAGAACTACACACACAGTCCCCACATGCATTCAAAATTGAAAACATATTATTCCACTTTCTGACAAGTTAAATCAATGTCCAGATGAAAATAGAGATCAACTCTTTTTCAAAAAACATTAGAATAATTTGTCTTTTACAAAAATCCATACAGCTCTGAAAAAAAGTGTCTCAAATGTGAACATATTTATCCCATTGTTTTTTACTGCTGTAAAACCTTGAAGGTTTTCTTTGTTTTTACATCTCAACAAGGAAGTAATTGTTGATGTGTTACTGTTTTAGTATTCTCGTTATCTTGCTTAAATCTTTATTTCTAATGATTAAGGTATTGATCTATAAAACTTTAGCATTTAAGGTGAGCCGTCGAGTACTTTTTGTTATAAAACAGTAAGACATATATTATACATTTTGGAAAGATTTGCTAGCATCTGTGATTAACCAATCAGAATTTGATAAATATATCTTAAGGGTAATAATATTAGTTACACAGTATTTTGAAAGGGTGTACAGGACTGCAAGACCCTTGTAAATTATGTATATGTACAGAATTTACAAGGATCTTACAGTCCCATACACCCTTTCAAAACACCGTGTGACGAATTTATTACCCTTAAGATCTTATAATTTAGCTTATCTTTATACAACAACATTCAACCTTTGGCAGAATGAGACGCAAAACGTTTCGCCATGATTTTTCCTGAATGTCATAAAGGGAGATAACTTGGGATGGCTTAGTTTATGATAAAAATTATCGAATTAGAGTTTTTTTAAATGACAAATGAAATACAGAAACATTTTATTTTTAGGATATGTCAACAAATAAGAAATGATGGCAATAGTTTTATTATGGCAATAGTTATATTGCTCTGTTTATACTCATAATTATACACACCAACTCTAAAATTTTTGAAGCAATCAGCTGATTGGCAGCCATATTCCATCTAAGGTCAAGGTCATTTGTACAACCCGTGTAGTGTGTCACGTGACAAATTTGACGGGGTGTACCTTTCGTACACCCTGGCAAATCTGCCTACATGGTTTCATATGCTTTGATTATTGACCAATCAGATTTCGACAAATTTATCTTAAGGGTAATAAACACCTATATACACAGAAATGTCACATGACCCTCCTTATACCATTTATATACACAGACATGTTCCACAGATCTGTCACAGCATCTTGCAAACGGGTCTCATCATTCAGCCCAATCTACATCCAGATCAATTTGTATTTTCCACATCATTGTGTAGATGTATCATGAAGAGTGACAGTCCTGACATTGGTCCGTTAGAAATGTGTTTTTGTCTTTGCTACAAACCATGCATTATGAACTGCACATCATTCATTTACTGACAAAACAACCAACCCCTGACCTCAAAGCATAATGTTTCTCACAACACAACCTGCTTGCTTAATACCTTACTTGAATGTTGTTTTTCTAACTAGTTTGTATACCACATTCATACAACTTTAATCCTAATACACGGAAAGATAACCCCTATTTTCTCTCTCTAATATTACAGACATTCAGTCTTTAATATTTTTAGACCTTCAATCAAACCCAAATCTGTGATATCAATGTTGATTTATAGTTTAAATGAATTATATTTTTTGTCAGATTTAAACAAAAGTCATGGTACTCGAGCTATTAATACAACTAATTGCTTTCTTCAGACAGTTCCATTATTTTATTTCTTTTTCCTGCTGATATTTGTTTTTCGCACAGTTTCCGGCTTTAATTCCGGCCTAATTATGTCCACAGTGACTTGACAATGATGACAAAGGGAGAGAAGCCGTCGCAAGGTAGATAGCAACTAGTGTCGCATATGGACGGCAAGATTTAATCATATGGTGCAGCCCAAGATCTCATCAGCGCAAATAGCCTGTAGTGAATTATCAGGCTCGGACTGGCCAAGGCTGTCAATTACGGAGCCCTATTCATTGCGACTGCCATTATTACGGACTCTATTAATCCCCCTCACAGCCCGAAGAGCTATCAATAAGACCCTGCGATATTACAAGGGCAAATCATAGTTAATCATGCACACAGATCATTCATTATATACAGAGGGTTTCAAAGACAGGCTCCTCTGGCTTACCGCTACCACTATGATAATAACCAACACATGCCCATTTACGCTTTGTTTAGAAAAATAATGTTGGTTCAGCATCTAAGTCCTTATTATTTATTAATAGGTGTCTTTGTTGTATGAAAAATGTATTTCTGAAAGGTTGGAAGTATGTGTGATTTTTGCACGAGTCATTCATTCCATTAAAATGATTGATCTTTGAAATATGTGATGTGTTTACTTGGGTATTTGTGTTATTAAAGGGGGAATCAAGGGGCATTACTATAATAAGTTAATAGGGGCAAGACTGTGGAGCATGCATAAGGCTGGCAGTGAACACTCTGTTTACATAAACTTGTTTAAGAGGGACATCCATATTCACTGCTAGTCCTTCAAACTGTGGACTAATATTTTCCCAAATGACGCGAATGAGCTCAGTCAACCCATATCTTTAATGCTCTCTTGTCTTGTTAGTTTAACGAGATTCCACGTGTATACAGGTAGCTCACGACAAAGGAAACATAATGGGAAAATCGTCAGTTCATGACAAACGGCATCACCTTCATTTCTAGGAAGATTTATGTATTTTCTCCTTGGTAATTATACAAACAAAATAAATGATACTTGGAAACAAAACCATGTATGAATATATCATTTAATTTAATTCTATTTCACTTCCCTCTGCCAACCTATTAGCCCACAAGTACACAGTTATCAATACTTATTAAACACTGCAAAGTAAGGGAAGGGGTAATGTCTGCCTGACTTACCTATTTGTTTGAAATCTGTTTGTTTCTTAACTGCCTATGTTATGAAAGTATGTCAAGCTTTTTCTGGAAAACCAGTCAACTAGAATGCACACACTTTTTTATACTTTTTACAAGACAAAACAAACATTCTTAAGCACTCAACTGTACCTCCATGCTGTCACATCCATTAAAAAAACAGCAGATGCACCAAAATAGAATGTGATGATTTGAGCAATTTTTTTTGGTTGTAGCAGAAAGTACAAACACGACGATATGTGTTTGTTGAACTAAGACAAAGAACAGGAGAGCAAAAAAAATTAAAATCGTTAAAAATTACCGTGAGCTCTAATTCATCATTTGACTCATTCTTGACAGCAAAGGGCCACCATCCCTTGACCCGTTTGTGTTTGAAGAGTGACATTTGTGGTACACTTCCATCAGTCTTAAGCATGTCTAACGAACACTGCTTTGCAGATTTTGCTCCTCGTGGAAAACGGTTCATGTCCAAAGTCAGGGAACCTGGATACAACAGAAAAAGATTGACAGGCATAAAAAAACATCAAGATTGAAAGATATCATACTCCTGATTAATGGAATTTTAAAATCACTTTTTCACTAAATTTGTACCTTGAAGCAGTCACAAGCATCCATTTCATTTCGTGATTAGCAAAAACACATTGGATGTCTAGTGGATGAATAAAGCTATTCGTCTGGAGTCGTTTTCTATGATTAAATGAAGACTCTATTGAAGATTCAGACACATTCCTAATTGTAATAGCTAAACACTATTTCTAAATTACAAACCATGGCTATTACACACATACACACATAGTCAGAAATTAGCTTAGTCTCTGTGAAGGTTTTCAAGAGATCTCGCATTGCATGACTGAAAATTGATTGCGGAAAATGTAACAAACTGAAAAAAAAATAACATATAAATAACACTTATAAATACATGTATAAATGAACCATACCAAGACAGGTATGAATGACATATGAATATCATATTTACTGTAAACATTTGCCTTCAGTTATGTAATGCCTCATTTGATTAATGGTTAAAACACCTCCCCTCAAAGAATGGTGGAAGATATAATTAACAGGATAGCACTGTACATGGTAATATGAAGAGTTCATTCTCTATGTCAAGTGGGTCACACTCCAGCAGAAAATATAGTCTTGATAAATGTTGTTCAGTGTTATTTGGGATTGTCTGCCTCTATTGCCAGGATACACAGACCCCTGTTTGTATCACTGATTTGTTCGCAGACCCCTGTTTGTATCGCTGATTTGTTCGCAGACCCCTGTTTGTATCGCTGATTTGTTCGCAGACCCCTGTTTGTATCGCTGATTTGTTCGCAGACCCCTGTTTGTATCGCTGATTTGTTCGCAGACCCCTGTTTGTATCGCTGATTTGTTCGAAGACCCCTGTTTGTATCGCTGATTTGTTCGCAGACCCCTGTTTGTATCTGATTTGCTGATTTGTTCGCAGACCCCTGTTTGTATCAGCTGATTTGTTCGCAGACCCCTGTTTGTATCGATTTGTTCGCAGACCCCTGTTTGTATCAGCTGATTTGTTGTTCAGAGCAGACCCTGTTTGTACCCCCTGTTTGTATCGCTGATTTGTTCGCTGATTTGTTCGCAGACCCCTGTTTGTATCGCTGATTTGTTCGCAGACCCCTGTTTGTATCGCTGATTTGTTCGCAGACCCCTGTTTGTATCGCTGATTTGTTCGCAGACCCCTGTTTGTATCGCTGATTTGTTCGCAGACCCCTGTTTGTATCGTTGATTTGTTCGCAGACCCCTGTTTGTATCGCTGATTTGTTCGCAGACCCCTGTTTGTATCAGCTGATTTGTTCGCAGACCCCTGTTTGTATCGCTGATTTGTTCTCCAAAGTTTCAGTCCTAAAATAAGAAACTGGAGTTTGTGGGTCCTCATCACTTGCTGTATATTTTAGTCGAAAAGCATATAAGAAATTACAGTAAAAGTTGACTATCCTATCTATAACTGGTGGTTATATTTGACAAGGTTGCCTAGTGTCTGACAGAGAATGGAAATTCTAATTTTGAGAAGTTTTACCGAGAAAATCATCAGCTGAGAAGTGGTCAGCATCCCACACTTGCAGGTTGAGTCTGGCAGGTATCTTTGACTCCGTCTCATCCCAGGAAAACAAGGTTTCTTTACGCGAGATGACAATCTTCTCCTCAGCAACCAGGTAGTCAAAGGGGAACACAAACCTCCAGTTGAAGTTGCCCTCACCTGTCAGGGACCTGGAAACAAACACTGAGTAGTAAAGGAAAGCTGACAGTTTCATTCAAACTTACATCAAAGCATCGTCACAGCTGCAATGACATGCTTCTTGCTCTGGTGCTTAACATGTATGCTTGACAAACTTAGGTAGACAATGGAACAGGTGTATATCATGGCATGGAGGATATGCATATATCACTGACACTGGTGATATACAGGTGTATATCATGACATGGAGGATATGCATATCTCACTGACATTGGTGATATACAGGTGTATGCTGATAGACAGGTGTATTTCATGGCATGGAGGATATGCATAAAGCACTGACATTCTTGATATACAGGTATATATCATGGCATGGAGGATATGCATATATCACTGACACTGGTGATATACAGGTGTATATCATGACATGGAGGATATAGAGAATCTCACCCAAGTGTCTTTTGATATCAAATATATCACCATGAGTTGATAAAGTTACAAATATCCGAGGCTTGCCGAGGATATTTTTACTTTTATCAACGAGTGTTGATATATTTGATATCAGAAGACACGAGGGTGAGATTCTATTTATCATCAAAAATCACTCTTCATTAGTTTTCAATGAAAATTGTACATCTCTGAACACAGTACTGCCATTAGATTTGCAGTGCAGCGATGTCATAACATTGTGACGTCAACAAGTTCATGACGTCATAGCATTGTCAGGGCATTGTACAAAATCTACTGTTGAAAGCGATATCTCTAGGAGATATCGTCTGATCTCCTGGCGATATCTACTGTGGAACACAGTTTTGGATGATAAATAGAATCTCACCCAAGTGTCTTCTGATATCAATTATATCAACACGAGTTGATAAAGTTACAAATATCTGAGGCTTGCCGAGGATATTTTTACTTTATCAGCGAGTGTTGATATATTGATTTATCATCAAAATCACTCTTCATTAATTTTCAATGAAAATGTACATCTCTGAACATGGTACTGCCATTAGACTTGCAGTGGAGCGATGTCATAGCATTGTGACGTCATCAAGTACATGACGTCATAACATTGTCAGGGCATTGTACAAAATCTACTGTCAAAACGATATCTCCTAGGAGATATCGTTTGATCTTCCACAAGCGATATCTCCTGTGGAACACAGTTTTGGATGATAAATGCATATATCACTGACACTTGTGATATACAGGTGTATATCATGGCATGGAGCATCACTGACACTGGTGATATACAGGTGTATATCATGACATGGAGGATATGCATATATCACTGACAATGGTGATATACAGGTGTATATCATGACATGGAGGATATGATATACAGAGAATCTCACCCAAGTGTCTTTTGATATCAAATATATCACCATGAGTTGATAAAGTAACAAATATCCGAGGCTTGCGAGGATATTTTACTTTATCAACGAGTGTTGATATATTTGATATCAGAAGACACGAGGGTGAGATTCTATTTATCATCAAAAATCACTCTTCATTAGTTTTCAATGAAAATTGTACATCTCTGAACACAGAACTGCCATTAGATTTGCAGTGCAGCGATGTCATAACATTGTGACGTCAACAAGTTCATGACGTCATAGCATTGTCAGGGCATTGTACAAAATCTACTGTCAAAACGATATCTCCTAGGAGATATCGTCTGATCTCACACAAGCGATATCTACTGTGGAACACAGTTTTGGATGATAAATGCATATATCACTGACACTTGTGATATACAGGTGTATATCATGGCATGGAGCATCACTGACACTGGTGATATACAGGTGTATATCATGACATGGAGGATATGCATATATCACTGACAATGGTGATATACAGGTGTATATCATGGCATGGAGGATATGCATATATCACTGCCATTGGTGATATACAAGTGTATATCATGGCATGGAGGATATGCATATATCACTGACATTGGTGATATACAAGTGTATATCATGGCATGGAGGATATGCATATATCACTGACACTGGTGATATACAAGTGTATATCATGGCATGGAGGATATGCATATATCACCGACATTGGTGATATACAAGTGTATATCATGGCATGGAGGATATGCATATATCACCGACATTGGTGATATACAAGTGTATATCATGGCATGGAGGATATGCATATATCACCGACATTGGTGATATACAAGTGTATATCATGGCATGGAGGATATGCATATATCACTGACACTGGTGATATACAAGTGTATATCATGGCATGGAGGATATGCATATATCACCGACATTGGTGATATACAAGTGTATATCATGGCATGGAGGATATGCATATATCACTGATATACGTAGATAACAAATTTTGAAATTAGATCTTCAGGTGCACATCAAGAGTTTCCTAATAGGTAGCCATAGTTGATGTCAATAATTTTTCTAGGGTGATCCAACATTGCACTTACATTCTACAATTGATGTGTTGTGCTCAAAGAATTCGCCATAATGATACATTGAACATATTATTCATCATTAACCTTTATTCAGTTTCAGGTAAATACTTGCAGCAATCTACACAGAATGCTAGGTTCCAGTAATGACCAAAATCCTGGTGGACTTGAATGAGATACAGCTTAAACAGCCTGACTTTGCAGGGAAAAACTCCTGCTGGCATGTTCATGTTTACAGCATATATCATCTCCGACAAGACAGGCCAGGGGAGAGGCATGGTAATCCACTCATTGTCCCGGTCTTATCCGCACAGCCAAACACTTTAGAAATTTCATGGAACATTTGCTGAAACAGCTGACAGGCCGAGAGACTAATCACATGCTGAGAGTGATACAAGGATTGTCATGAGAAAAATCTATGACAAAAAAGTGTGTTGGATTCAATGTATGATACAGGTTCCCAAACACCCTCATTATTTCACAATGATGGCACAATCTCCCTGTGTGGTGGAGCCTTGAAATGAGGTATACCACTTTAAACATGCTCTGTTTGTTCTTAAATCAGCTTCAGCAAAGACTTACAAAGTACACTTCATATAACATATGGTGCAGGTTTTAATTTTTAAAGACAAGCATTTAGCATTAAATTTGCTTTGGAATGTTAACAAGATACTTCACATTGCAGGAAAGCAGTAACATTCTTCCAATAAAAATCTATACAATTGTTATTTTTTAATGCATACAATGTACATAAATTAAGAAAGAGGATGTATCATGTAAAGTTCAGACCTTTAAGCTCAAGTGTATCATTTAAATGCTTTACAAATGCTAGCTGCAAAGGTTGGAAAATTAACACAAAACTTTATGAAATGAATTAAAAGTTGACCGTTTCCTTCTCAAGTAGATATCTTATTGTATGTCTAAGAATGTCTGTTAATCAATGGAAATAGCATACTTCTTCCACAGCAGATATTCATCGGAACTCTTCACTTCTAATTCAGACCCCAATTCCTATATAAAACCAGCCATATTGAAACATATGTTTGCATTATTTACAGCAGGGTCCTTTTCTGTTACTTAATAAGGCCCAACAATTTACAAGAAGGATAATAAAGCTGAACAATCTGCAGGCATATTTTGTCTCTTCTCCATGTGGTTCTAGCTTTGTTTACCTCCACATCAAAGAGCGATGAAGAGTTGCAATTGAGATTGTCCCTCCGCCCATGTATACAACTTACGTAGGGGGTAACACAAGACGGATGTGTTTCTCTCGCATCTTTTGATTCAGATTCAGTCAATAAAGCAGCATGACATGATACCAAACAACAACAGAAACATTTGTCCCAAGTGATACATGATCTTAGTATAGACTTTTTGCACAATGACTTGCATGGTGGACCTTGTAACACATAGTTGATTCAGTTTTTAACAAGGCATAGTTTGATATAAGCTCGACTTTTCAATTGTTAAATATTTCTGACAGATGTATAAACCACTTTTTTAATTATTTTTTTGTTCAACACAGCAATACAATAAGGTGAGGTGAGGTGAGGTGAAATGGGGTTTAACATGCTTAAAATTATTTCACTCATGACGATGTGTATGCATGTCTATTTGTGGCTACTTGCACTAGCCCAGACTTAAGATGGTTTTATAGTGCTAGCTCCCTCAGATATAATACAATAAGGAATTTTCCAACATACTATAACACTCTTTACATGTTTAATTTGACAAAAGGATGACAGATTTACATGATTTACATGTGGATGTATTACAAAGGAAAATCAACATGCTTTTTCTGTAATTTGGTTACCAGATTTACAAATACCGTAACCTAACAAAAACTATTAAGGGACATAATATTTGATTAGAAATTGTAGGTGCACTACTTTCATCAAAAATAATAATATGAAACTCTCTTTATCCCTGGACAATACAATGCAGGGGAATCGGAATTCCATAATTTATGATGAATGTAATACAAATAATCTGCAATCAAAGTGTCAAAGAGAAAAGAAAGCTGGAAATTAAATTAGGAAAGAATCCTGCATCACAGGAGGTCAAGCTGACCAGCAAAGAAGAACAAGATCACCAACATAATTTATTCGTACAAAATCAGATAATAAGCAACATACATGTATCTCTATAGGCTAAAACATCTACCTGCTGATTGACAGCCCAAGCACCTGACCTCAACAGCATTGTGACAAATGTCATTCATACACAAAGGTTGGTTCATGTGTGAATTTATCATCACTGGGAGGTGGATGAAGTGTGCAATTGAGATATCTCGTTGGGAAGGAACTATCCAAAAGTGCGTAGTGGTTGCAGAGTGGTTTATGTGCAAACCAACAACATCCACAACACACATGGGCAGTACTCTGTAGGGCTTCTATTTCCCACTGAATTTGAATTTAACTTATATGTAAAAGACCATGAACAGAATTTACACTCAGTCTCTATACAACTCTATACAAACTTGATATTTGGCACAATCATTACATTTCATTGGTGATTAGTTTGTGCTTTCCTTACCTGATATTTTCTGAATAATATAAACTTTCTGGAAATTTGAATCATATTACTTATATT